AAGAAGGATGTCCCACCATTTATAATTCTCATCGTTTGACCCCCCCCCCCCCAAATTGTTGCGCCAACAAATGGTATCATAAGTCTTTGGTTCGAGAAAGGGACCGACTTACTTGTATAAAAAATATCCCACATGGTCATGGGTAAGTGTTCCGCATGTGGGCGAGTGTTCCGTTGAAAGATTTTTAACGGCGGTACAAGTTTATATGGAAGAAAGAGTTTTCACTTGATGGGGGAGCATTGTGGTAGACTCACACTTGAGAGGGAGTGTTGAAAAAGAACTACAAATGTGAGTAATGTAGATAATAGTCCCACATTAGATAGGAATGTGGTGACTTGAACATTTATAAGTGAGAGAAACCACGCACCTATCACCTTAAGATTTTGGGTGAATATGTGGTGTGTCACTCACAAATATGTGTTGCTCTAAGAAGGATTACCCACGATTAAGAATGCTCATCGCTTGACCCCTTTGATTGTTGCAACAAAACTATCGTGGTTGATATATTTCAACGTATCACGGTACTTTAAAATGTAATACATCATCGTCAAAAGTTCAAATCTTATATCTCATATGTTTAAAAAAATAACTACAAATTTATGTTACCAATAAGGAAATTTCTTATCCCACCCCATGTGTTTCTTTCCCATCGTGTGGTTTTCCACAAATGCCCCTAGATTCCGAAGATATATCTCCGGACGCGCCTTATGGCTTAATAATATTCCAGAGATATATCTCTGGAGTAATTTAAACCTTAAACGGTCAGAACATATCTCCCATAGCCCAATTCTATTTGAATTTGTTTGGAGATGCATTTACAGAAATTTTCCGGAGATGCATCTCGAAGTGTTTCAGAACAGGTTTTTTTTCTTCTAAAAACGTTTTATTTATTTGTTCGCAGATGAATTATAAAATAACAAACTCACCAAAATAACATCACAATATAGTAATAGGATGTCATATGTCACGTAAATCCAAAATGTAATAACAATGTAAAGAAAAACGTACAAATTATAGTACTGAAACAAAATAAATACAGACAACTACTTGGAGTGCCTGACAACCTTTCCTCGGCCATCTGTGCCTGGTATTCCTCCTCGGCCATCGATCCTTCCCATCCTCGCGCGATGTATGTGGTATAAAAGTTGCACATGTGCCTCCGCAATAATGCCATCTTGTACTCGCCTCACAGCAGACCCCTCAGAGAAGACACCCTCGTCAATGACATCAGACTCCACTATGCGATGACAACAAGGCAATACATCCTTAGTATGATACAGCTGAGCCTATTGCTCCTCAAAAATCTCCCGATGAACTTGTCTCAGAAGATTTTCTAAAGTAGTCGACACCGTGTACGGATGTGAGACAGGACTAATCCTTCATGGACGTAGCTCCAATCATTCGGCGCTATGGTATCCCGAGCCTCAGCGAGTACCAGATGACTCTGATAATTAGCAAACATCTCATATATATATATATATATATATATATATATATATATATATATATATATATATATATATATATATATATATATATATATATATATATATATATATATATATATATATATATATATACATATATATATATATATATATATATATATATATATATATATATATATATATATATATATATACGAGTCAAGGCCAAAGATGTAGAGACATCGGAGTGTCTAGGGATGGTATGGGTGTGCCCAAACTGCCGCATGACGCGCTCGGGCAGATGAGGAGTAATGATCGTCGACGAGCAAGCCAATCATTTAGAGCATAGTGATATGTCATTTAATGGCAACGTTTGAAGGTGATCCACGTAGCAGTTGAAGTGGATGACCTTAGCAACCAAGCGATCAAGATAGACTCTGAAAAGATCGACCGTCTGGTTTCCTCTCAGCGGGATAAAAGCACAGGCACGGGGTCTTCTTAGTGTACTCATCCCAACACGACCAGCCAACGTTGCGCGAAAAATGCTAGAGGATCCAAGCCTGAAATGAAAATAAAAAAGCATTCAAGGATACAAAATTATCGCAAGTATGAGATGAAAAAGATAAATAAATATTCAAGGATAAAAATTTATTACCACCCATAGGGTCGTGTTCACTGGGGTCTGCCTCATCGTTTACCGAAAACCATCTCTCAACTTCGAATACAGACATGCAAGGCAAGCCACCCCCCAGTTGTACTCATGAATTCGTGTGAGATTCTAGAAGTATCGGAGATATGCAACATCACTGTAGGTGACACTTGTGTCCACAAAAAGCACAGTGCCAACTAAAAATAGAAAATAACACCTAAAAGCATTAGTCTCGTGTATGGCCACCTCTTGGGCATCACCATCAGCCTACACTGCAGCAACAAGCGTCTGATCAAATCTCTCCTTCAAGAACAAAAACCCAACATGAGCACCTTGAGCCTTTCCTTCTCCCTCAGCGCCTTCACTGGATCAGCCTCCAGATGTTCCACCATCATATCGACTGCCTCGCCTTTGGTCATCCTACCATGATGGAAGAATCTCCCTCTGATTGATAGATACAACAAACACGAAACATTGTCCAGGGTAATCGACATCTCACCGTGCAGGAGATGAAAGGAAAAGGTCCCAGAGTGCCATTGCTCCACGAATTCATTAAGTATCATGTGGTTGACCAAAGTGTAACCGATCAAGTATAAGTTACTCAACCCATAAGTTGCCAGAACCGTGCATCAGACTGATGCAATGCTAAAATCTTCTGCCCATGGTTCAGAAACTTCTAGGTATCACGCACCTGCGAATTTTCAGAAATAATCAACATCTAAAAGAATCAATGTTAAAAATAATCAATGTCAGCAATTTAAATTAATGTAAAAGATTATAGTAACAATTTGACTAATGTTACCTCTCTCAAGCTCGGCATCAACAACATCACCCTTTAGAGGTGGCACCAATGCATCTCGATCAGCAGGTACGACCAGGTTAACAAGAGGTAGCACCTAATCAACAGGATGTGGCACATGTGCATCCCGCCACCTGCAGGAGGATGTGGGAAGTGAAACGTCAGCTGGTGCATCTCATGGTCTGCAAGAAGAAAATGAAGAAGTTGGAGTGGGCTGAGACGTAGATGGAGTGGCCTGAGATGTAACTGGAGTCGCCTGAGGTAAAGGTTGAACCACAGAAGTGGACTGAGTTACTGTACATCAGCAATCTACGACTCTCCATGACCATAGGTACCTGTTGCATCCGGACCCAAATGACTCTGCTCTCGTCTAACGGATGCTTGTTAGACAACCAGTACATGCTTCAATCGGTCAACTCTGTCAATCATTATGCATGCAAGGTATAATATAATTAACCGCACAATGAGTTTACATAATAAAATAAAACAAAAAGATAAAAAAAAATAGACTGAGACATTCTGGAGATACATCTCTAGAAATATTCAACGTCTCACATACTCTGGGTGATTTCGGAGATACAACTACGAAAATATTTCGCAGATGTATATCCATAATCACTAAGAGTATATGAAACGTTGAATATTTTCAGAGATGTATCTTCAAAGTATTCGACAACTCAGAGGTCGCGCCAATGACGTCTTCTGCCCCTCAGAATGACAAATTTGAAGCTCTGATCGTCCATTTGAGCCAACAAACAATACATGCAGTTACTCTAAACTATATTTCATATGATTTATAACCATTATGACACCTAACAATGAATTTTAAATCGTTTACAACAAAACTCAAATATTTATCAAAAACATGAAAAATTTAGCAGAATTTTATGATTCGAAAGATGTTGGATGATGCACTTAATGATTACTTGAGCCTCTGCCATAAAAAAAATCAAATTTGGCGAAGTTTAAAAATTTTAGGAATGAGAGATAAAGAGATTTATGATAGAAACAAAAAAGTGTGAAAAAATATGAGTCTGACGCGAGAATATGCTCCAAATTATTTCGAAAATATATTCTTAAAATATTTCAACGTTCAATTCATCTTTGGTGCATATCTCTAAAATATCTTAAAGTTAAATTAAAATATGATGCATTCAAAAATATATCTCTTAAAATTAGAAGTATTATAAAAAATCTAGGTGTCTAAAAATACATTTTTTAGTAATCCCCTACCAATAATCACACAAGAAAGACCATATTATAATCAAAGTAGCCAAACCTGATTACAAAAGAGAGAAACTAAAAAAAACAATGCATAATAGATGATTCAAAATTCCAATCTCCTAAAATTTTAGAATTTTCAATCTCCAAATTAGAAGCAAAGAACGCAGAAACAAAATAGAGCATAGTTTAATTTTAAAACTTAAAAAATAAAATGCATGCATCAAACATCAATCACTTATGCTTTTACCTACAATATAATGCACCACAAATCAATCACTTATGCTTCTACCTACAATATAATACACCATAGATAACCTTTCTATTAATTCTACAATCAGATTTTAAGAGCATTTTATAACAATATAATCACTTATGCTTCTTATTGTAGGTAGAAGCCGTGAAAGTTGAAAAATGTTCTTAAAATCTGAATATTATTATACGGATATTTTATTTTAGATCCATCCGAATAATAATATCTAGATTCTTAAAAGCGTTTTTGAACTTTCACCGTAATGGATTAGCAACAAAGAAGATGAAAAGAAAAAGTTGTATAATAGTTAGATATGTACATTACAAAATTGAAACTCTAAATGAAAAAAATCGTAACCCGTTAAAATGTAATCTGAAGTAGACCAAGCATGTGTTTCACATCAGCAACAAATAACTTTACATACGGATGTACATAATTTACATATACACAATTTAAAGAAGATTGGAGAGGGGATATAGACCACTGGTAAAATGTAGTCTTAACTACAAGGACCAAGCATGTAAATTGTAACAAATAACAAATGTCTATACAATATACACATTAAATATGTAGGTGAAAGAGGATGGGGGTAGGATATCCACGGCAAGTCTTCACTATGTACAGAATACCAATATTTACAGCTCCCTTGATTTACCAGAAAGGGCACCACCTAAAAAACAAAGAGAAAAGTAGTTATATAGAAGCCGGCCGCAGACATCACTTTTCACTGGTCTCGTAAAAAAGAACAAACTTCAGAGTCATTCCCATGTATCTATCTAAAAATCAGTCAGTCCACATATATTAAAATTAGATGTTAACTCGATGAATACTAGTTACAGGAGTTAGAGATCATACCCAACGTAGTTTTGACATAGATTTTCATGTGAGGTAGCATGGGAAATTAATTTTTGTACTTGCAATTTCACAGATAAAGCATGATCAATTTCCCGAGAGTCTCCAGAATTTAAGTTGCTATGGTCCACTGCATTCTGAAGGGAGTTGTTTAATACTGAAGAGCAAGTTGAAAAATCCCGACCGGTAAGCTTGTTACTCATACGAGCCATGACAACCACGGCACGCTCATTCAGAACCTCGTTAGCATCACCGAGTTGATTAACCGCCTATACGTGCAAGTAGATATAATGAGCAGCAATAATCAAAAGGAAGCAACAAAATAATAATAATAATAATAATAATACAGGATGTATATACCTGAAGAAGTTCCCTTTCACGGACACCACGCTGAGGATGAGGAAGCTCTCGATTTGGGCCAGATTCTTCACTAGTTACAGTAGGAGGTGCATGATTGCTAGTAAGCATGGACATTTGCGGAACTTCATTGAAGTTGAAAAGACGCCAATTTATAAGAGGATCATGTACAAAGGCCTGAATGAATGTAAGAACATATAATCAATTAATTATTCAAATATTGAGGATAACGACAAATACAGATCGTTTGGAATAAAATCCCCATTGTAGCCCAAAATGTAAGAACGTCTAATCAAGTATTTATTCATATATTGAGGATAACACAACAAATACAGATTGTCTGGAATAAAATCCCCATTGTGGCCCAAATTTATGAAATAGTAGTCTAGTAGAGCTCATTTAATAAACACAGTTTTTTTTCTTTCATTTAACAAATCTTATCGGTTCATCTTGCGCCAATAATTTATCACAAAAATTAATATTGAATAATTACTCCATTAGAGTTTTATATTGGATCTAACTATTTCTTACAAAACTGGAAGATTATTTCTACTTATAAACATGTGTTGAGGCTATCAGTTATTCGACGCAGGATTCTCAACAGTTATTTAGATTTCTAATAATTATAATTAATAACAAATTCTCCATAATCTAAAATTAAGATATTATAATTTTAAGATTTAAAAGAAATCAAAACAATCAAAAGATAAAGAACTTTTAATTATAAAAAATAGTTTTATTTTAGATTCTATTTCTTTCTTGGCATTAATTTGGTTGACAGTATACCGATGTTGACCTGGATTGTTGCATCAACAGACAAAAATGCTGGTTTAATGTCTGAAATGTGAGGCATCACTTACCATAGAATTGATTTAACGATTAATTTAGAATATGAGATTTAATGATCATTGATAATTTCTGAGACATGGCAGACATTAAAGGGGGGAGGTGAGGGGGAAAGTATCTATCTTTACCTCCATCATGGCCATAACACTATCTTTATTTGTTCTCAAAACTTGCATAACATTTTCACAAGTGGAGCGGAAATTTCCTTCGATTCCACTAACTTCCATAGCTTTCACAAGCATTCTTGTCAAGCGAAATGGTACCTGAATTGAAACATTAAAGTAAGATACAATTAAATATTCATATTACCTACAATTAAAAAAAAGGTTCTTGGTTATACCTTCTCCGGGAACTTCTCTCGATTTATCGATGCTTCAAAACAGTCTCCAAAATCGATGTGTAAAATCTTGCCGCTGTGGAACATGAGGAATATTAAAAGCTAAAACTATCAAGTTAATGTCAATCCAGCTAAGTTTCTTTATCATAACCTACCTAAACCGGTGCAACATGAGATTGCTTGGATGACGATCACCCAACCCAAGAAGGTAGCCAACCTGGCAAAATCAAAGTGTTAGTTTAGCCCATATAGTAAATAATAAAAATAACAAACAAGACAGAAAAATAATTGCAGTTGGCAACTCACTATTGATGACATAATTGCCAGGAAAATCTGTGCAAAAGGTCATAAAATGGATAACTAACCACAAATTGGAACTTGCAATGGAATATAGATTGTTTAAAACGGATTTAACCTTTCAAAAATTAATCAACTTTGGTGAGAGGAAACTCATACATACATACAGTAAGGTCATATCCAAGTTGTAAAACTCAAAAGTCTACATAAACTTGTATGGCTTTCATAGACTGGACAAGTTAGCTGTCATAGTTAACTTAATGTAAGAATACAACAACCGAGTCTTATCCCATTAAATAGAGTCGGTTATATGGATCAATTTTCGCAATAAATGTTCCATCCAGAACCAAGCTTTTGTCCAAATCGTTAATCTCGAGATCTTTATTAATAAACTCTTTTATAGTCTTTCTAGGTCTTCCTCTTCCTCTAGTTATTTGACTTCTTACCACATAAGTCTATTTTCCACCATCTTCTCTACAATAGGCACTATCCCAACACTCTAATATTTCCATTTTTAATCCTATCTTGTCTAGTCTTACGACACATCCAACGCAACATCCACATCCTCATCTCTGTCACACTTACTTTATTCTCATGTTAATTCTTAACTGTCCAACATTCCATTCCGTACAACATCGCACATCTCATCAACTGTATATACAAATATAGATACAATATATAACTCTATTGATACTACGATCAGAAAAAAAATTAAATCTTTTCTAACCTTCATAAGAGTTAGTGTGCACAAGGTATATTATTTGTTATAATTTTAATAACAAGTTAAACATTACTTTGATTTCGAATTATGTTATTTACTTTTTATAAATATAATATATGGTATTTATAATGATTTAGTTTTAATATATGGGGTGATAGTTGCCACAGGTTGTAAACTTAGTAGTACCTATTTACATCACCTGCTGCGGTGCAGAACTGTGAAGGGGATGATACCTTGAAGAGATATTTGCTCCTATTCTATCCTATTTCTTAATAAAATTGTTATTTCTTTGGAATTCAATTACTGGGCTTCTAACCGATGGACCAATGGCGCCCTATTTGATAATAAATCGGTAATTGGTATAGCTCGTAATCTTATTCAATATGCCTAATGAAACAGACAAGCTTGTTATCAAAAAGAAGTTTGATAAAGTTTAATTTGTACTCCAGTTCCTTCACAAGGTCAACAAATTAAACTTTATCAAACACATACTCATCGGCTTGAGAGGAGTGTTGGTAATTGAAACATTCATACTCCACTTTCCAAGTAGCTTAGGTTCAATCTATCACATATTCAAAAAAATTGGCAGGTAGGAATGAGAAAAATTGGCAGGTAGGAATGAGAAAAATTGGCATACCATGCTCATAACTGCCAAACTTCTGGTATAATTTGTTCTCCTCTCGAGCCATACCTCGGAAGTTCGACTTTTTAACCAAAGCACCTAGGAGCAGGAAAGTTGCGAAACTTTAGATGTCATCATAGAATACAATGAGTGAAGTGAACTTTGTAAACACCAGATACCTTTGCTAGGTCATTTCCTTCAGTATTGTGCAAAGCATACTCAAACACCTCCACTTTAGCTATAAGAGGCAAATGGTCATAATCAGGTGCAAAACTGAGCATGCATTTGTGTTCATGATTCAAGATGACCTGTATAGCCAAGAAGTATAATAATTCAAGCAACTTAGAACGTGGAGAATTATCATATTAGAGTGAAGGAACATTTATTTGCAGGTGGAGGCAACTAGGACTATATCTGACCTTTCTAGCATCTCTGTACTCCCTGATAAGTGAATGCAAAGTATCACAATTTGGGACCCATTCAATTAGACCACTGTTTGGAGATAAAGGGATCACAGCATATCGTTCAATCGACAGATCTTTCTCAGCTGTTTTAGGAGAATTCTCAAGCAGGGTATTCACCAAACCGAAAAGCTAGCAAAAAAATGATAGTGTTCTTATCAACTTGTCAAGATGAATACATCTAGAGAAAAGTTCATCAGACATCATAGATATGCACACACAGTATTCTAAAAGACAACTAGTACAAGAGACGTCATACTCATACCTGCATGACTCGTTCATCCTGGCGTAAATCCTCGTGCCCCTTCAATAAGAAGGCATAATCCTCACAATCACTCCCATGAATAGTTAATTTCCTGGGCCGTTGCTTAGATGGTATGATAACAAGCTGGGGTGCAAATGATGCAATAGTAACCACTGGTGCATCTGAAATAAGAATATAATGTTACTGGAATATATTACATTTTTAGTTGTAGTAATAGGAGGATCTCTCTCTCTCTTAGTTAGCTAAAATATCGGAAGGTGTCTCGTTGAAGTTAGTTATAGCTTATATGTATTGTTAGAAGACCAAACTGTTTCGGGGTTTGGTGCCCATCATGTACAGTGTACATCAGATCATGCACTCCTTTTTCAATAAAATAAACACAATATATTTTCATAAAACCTAGATTGACCTCATTTACTCTTCCCCCTAGTTTCAGATAAGTGTTGAATAATCGTAGAGTAGAGCATAGACATTACTGTAAACTGTATATGCATTCCATAGCAAACATAATGCTAAGGAATAATCACACTAAGATTCGTTTCAAACTCACCTCATCTAAGGTATTGTGATCATAAAGATTTAGATATTAATAATTACACTAAGATCCATTCGAACACCCAATGTTCATTTTCTACCATATATAAATGTAATAACTAGAAATCAAATTTTCAGTAGATTAAATATTAAAGTATAATAATCTAACATCAAGAGAAATTTTGATGAAGATAGGTGGAGAAAAAATAGGTGGAAATATGCAAGTTTCCTCTGCTTCAGAAAGTGGATAACTGTGCCAATTAACTTGTGATCCATGTGAAAAGCATTATACTAATCATCAATTTTCTTTCTTCCCAATTTTCCATTTAAGTAAACAAGCGTGATAAAATTCTGAGATACCAACTCTCAATATTTTCCTTATCTAAACAATAAGAAAACCCTTAATTTTCTGTTTTCTCTTTTCAATAGCTCATATTTTCTTATTTCTACTTCCAAATGGAACATAAATATCATGCAATTTGATATTTGATATCAAGGAAATAGTAAAACTAACTTACCAGCGCAGTATGTCCCAGGAACGGCAAGCTCTAAATTTCGGCACTCTAGCAATTCTGGAGAAACCGTCTACAAAATTTAAACAAAATATAAGGCCATAACAATGACAAAAATAAATTGAATGACTACGCATCACTATTACCTCCAAGTCTAAAGTAGCAAGACTTTGAAGTTGCTTATCTATCTTTCTGAATACATGATAATAGATATCCCATGCCTGATAAAGAAATAAATAAAAATTATTTCCGGAGAGGAAAAATGACAAAAACAGATTGTAGCGATCAACAATTGCACATAAGGTACCAGCATGGTGTTAGAGATATAAAATAAAAATCACTCACAAATCTACATCTAACAGTTTAACCTCTAAGTATTTGATTTGCAACACCGTGCACATATGCAATGTTTTTGTAATTTAGTGCCCGCTTTAAAAATAAGATGAACTAGAGTATGAATATTTTATAGTCAATTTACAAGGAGTTGCATGCACACATACACAGTTAGAAATAGAATCAGTTGAATGTCCCATTTTCCAAATAGCGTAGATTCTTAGTACAGCGAGTAAGCATGGGTCAATCTATTCACGGGTCAGTCTATGTTCTTACGCTGCCCAACATCTCCTTCCTTTGAGATCAGATTTGAGCATACTTTCCAAGCTTAGCGGCTTCAGTTGATGTAAGGCGGACAAAATTTCATGCAAGTGTGCTATTCATGCTATTTTCATTTGGTGGATAAACCAGTCAAATTCTAGAATATCGCTTAGGATTATACTCAGTTCTCGATAGTAGCCGAGGGATAGCGGCTCGGAACGGTGACCCTCTGTTAAAAAGGAGCAGTTCACATCTCAGTTCGAGATCGCACTTCGCATCTCAGTTTGAGATTGCAGCCGCAGTTTGATGTTTAGCGGCTTGCAGGAGCGGATTCCATCTATTTTGAACGTGCAAACTCAGTTTTACCCTTAAATAAAATAAGCATTCGAACTCAACACAACACAAAGGATTCAGTCTTCTTCTCACACGCCTTTCGCTTCAGTTTTTCTTCTCACAATGTTCTTCCCAGTGACGCCTCCGTCTGCTTCATTTCTCAGCGCCACCACCTTCATCTACTTCGTTTCTCAGGCCACTGTCTGCAATCCCATCTTCTCCGGTTGATTTTTACTTCTCTGTTCTTCTTTTCTTCTTTCTTCTTCTTTCTTTTTTCCACTTTCTTATTTCTTTTCTTGCATTGCTCTGTTTTTCTTAAAGTCTTCTCTACTTTCTTCTTCTTTCTTTCTTGTCTCTTCTTTCTTCTCTTCTTTATTCATATTGTCCTCTGTCTTTTTCAAGTAATAGTAATTCTTCTTCCTCCTATTTTATTTGTGGACAATCATAGCATCTTCTTCAACACCATCTCTAAATTTTGAGTAATAGTAATTCAATAACTCTATTCTTCTTCTTCCTCTTTTATTTGTGGACAATCATAACATCTTCTACACCATCTATAAATTCTACATATGTTGCCTCATGTGTTATTTGTTTAGTTTTACATTAAATATATATTTTATAGATTATTCATATAATTATTCTAAAAAGTAATCAAATGGCGTTGTTCCACTATCCCATATTTGGGGTCGGCCGCTCCACTATGCTATTAGGTATTGATAACTCTAATTATACTACCTACTTTTATTATGATTTGTTCTTGATTTATGATTATTAGAGTCATATATTAGAGTTATATCTTAGGATATAACTCTAATAATGATTGAGTCTATGCATCCCTACAAATAGAGACCTTTGTTGTTAAACTCGGCCGGAGCGGCCAAGATATCAGCATGGAACAACATTGCCACCAAAATTAGTTTTTATTTTTAAGTATGAATGCTTGATGAACTTTAAGTAATTGATTTTAGTTTTTAACTATTACGTGTTTATTAGTATTAAATTAGTATTCAATATATTAGTGTCGTTCCGCGTTCCTGTTCCGTTCCAATTTTTAGGATGGCCGTGCCGTGCCGCGCCGTTACCCGTAACAACAGAGATAGAGAATAGTGTTTAGTCTTTTATATCAAGCTACTATTCAGTCAGTATCAATAATATTCAAGGTTCATGTTGTTCTCTCTTCCTTTTATCTAAAATCCCACCACGTCAACACTTACAATGAATAGGATTTGACTAAGATTTTACAGCAACTTCTGTACCAATAAATTACTGTGTTCAAATGAACCAGGGTCTTCATAACACGAAATTTGGCACAATGTTACAAGTCCAAACTCTCATACCTGAGTAAGCTCAGCATCTTTCCCAGTTCTCTTGTAATTCATAGAGCATTCATATGCCTCCAACAATTCCTGTCGATAGGCCTGCCACAACAAGAGAGTACTAACAACTTTTTTATTCAAAAACAATGTGAGTTGACAAAAATCCAAGGTAAAAATTTATATAATACAACTGAAATTTCAAAGAGACGTAACTGTACATTATTATAGTTTATTATGATAACTGAGAAAGGATATTAATACAACCTCAATAAATACTCTCTCCTTTATGGTAGCATTGTTTTTCATTGCACCATCCTCAAGCATTTCATGCAGTGGCTCCAACACCTTTAACATCCCTTCAATATTATGTTCACCAAAATAAAGACGACTGGCTTCTTCAAGTGCTTCATGCCAGAGCTCGTGCCAAAGAATAGCAACTCTGATAAGCTCTTTTGATACAAGTTGGGCCTGTAGATACAATCGTCATTTGGTGAAAAAGGTAGAATCTGACGAACATAAACTTAAAAGGGATAATTGTCAAACCTGATCCACAAGTACACCACTGTGCTGCCGAACTTTGTCCACAACTTCCTGAGCTGCAGCTTTACGTAAGTTGCTTATTGATTTACAGGCCACAAGCAAAGGATACATGAGAGCCTGGAGAAGAAACGAAATCCAAAAGTCTAAAATTAGTAACATAATTGACATCCAAGTGTTGTCCCTAGATCCCCTGCAATAAAATACTATATCAACCAGCAATGATGCCGATTAATGGAAACGGGCTAATTCACGTTGAAAAGGGAGGATATGATGTCAAAACAAATCTATTAACAGTCATTATGGTAAAACAATACCATATATAGATATACAAAATGTATATCCAGACATGTGAGTCATTTAGCCAGACAAGCCCAATCTAGATTATCCAACATTAACACTACCCAACAAGATGGAGCCAGCAGATTATATGCACCTATCTAATTTTTGGGAACACATAACTTTGAAAATGTAGTTTGATGAGGAGTGTGGGACAGCTCAATAAAATTGAAACAAAGTGGTTCAAAGAACAGCTAGAGTCGGAATGCTAAACTGTATCGTACTCCTCAATATCAATCTGAATGCAGCAACTCCAATTCAGTATAACTTTCAGAAATATCTAGAGCATTAAATGATTACAACTTTTAGAAGATTATGACTTAATGGGGAAGTGTATAAGGACGGCTTAATAGCTAAGGTTGATTATGTGTCTGCTGTCAACATATATACTAGCAATACCCATTGCCTTTGTAGAGTTTGACATTGTCCCAAAAAGTTTGATAGTCATATTTTTGCCCATTCTAAGCAAGACTCATGCTGCACTCTATGATATTAATAAGCTGTTAGCTCCTGTTACAAGGGACACAGGAAATTAAATTAAGAATGTAAGCAGCTGAATACCCAATTTATCCTACTTGCCCTTTTTTGGTTTGCTTCAGAATTACTCTTGTCTGTAATCAGAACCTAAGGTCTACTATTGCTCTAACAAGGTTTGCACCCCTTATCCAGATTCCAGCTACACCGGTTTGGTTATAAACCCTGGTAAACTATTTTATTGCATATATCAGTTACCATGCCTTGGTCCCATGGTATGAAAGAATCAGTTTATAGTTATCTAGTAAGCTCATGAGGGCTAACAGTAGGTCCACTGTATATTAACATAGCCATGTAACTGATTGTAACTAGCTGTTTCGCACAGTTAAAAATAGCTGCAACAGCCATAACAAACTGACACACATGTCAGCCAATCCTAGGCATTACCTCTATAACAGGTCATCAAATAGATCTATAAATGGATGTAATCAAGTGTAACCATAATCAATCCAAAAAAATTCAGATTTACTCTCATAGATTCCAAGAGAATCATGGGTAATATTCAACGTTCTGACACAAGGTTCTTGATACCGTTGTCAAGTCATATCTGGTAATAAGACTAATTTCTCATCTCTACATTTTTTTATTTACCTATAGCTATGATTCCTAGACCTAGTCTCACGGGATTGGAACATCCCATTCCTTGCCTGTCCCTTTCCGTATTAGTTGATTTTGTCCTTTATGTTCCTGGGTATCTCTTTAATTTACAAAAGAAATTGGTGTTTGAAAGGGCCAGAGTTCGGGACAGCCGATAGGGGCTGGATGGAATCCCATAGCCTTTACTATCTATCTGCTTCATTCTGTGTTTGTTCAACTAGGATTCTCCTCATGCCATACATACTTAATTGGTTCATGGTATTCCGAAACTTTAGAAATCAATGTCAAACCTCTCCAAGTTATCTAGTTTGCATGGTGAGTCATGTACACTACAGAAATACACTCCTATTCAGTTTCCAAAACAAGTCAATATATGAGTGTCATTACTTTTTAGTTAAGCTAACTCCAATGCCGGGTGTCCTTACTGTACTATCTCTACATTTGAGTCCAAACATTTGTTACTTCTATTGAATAATAAGCATTATATTCTGCAGCAAAAACGTATCAAATTACTTACTATAAAATTACTGATATAATTTTCAGTATTACAAGGAGCAAACATACGGATTTAAGCAACTCCCTTAAGTCTTATTCATGAAAGATCAAATAAAGATGGCAATAAAATAAACTGTTATCCTTCAAAAGTAAAACTTATGATTCTGCAGGTTATGAAAATCTTTGTAACATGCAAGAATACAAGCCTCCAATTTCAAAATAACGGTCATCTACCTGTGGATGGTTTTGCCCAATTCGAACCAACAGTGATTGTATCAACTCTCTCACGGCATGGTTATTAGAGTGTATCCTGGCAATAATTTGAGGCAGAACAACTAGCCATGTGTTGATATTTACTAGGGAAAATCCTTTCGTTAGGGCCGTTTGAACTTCTGCAGTAGCTCCATGGTTGAACCATAGTGTCAAAAGGCGAAGAATATCCTGCAGTTCACCAATGCTTAAGAATCAAAGGAAAAAGACTCACGATTCAATAACATTCCTAGCTAGAAGAGTTCACGTAGAAACTCAGATGTAGAATACAGTGCAAAAGACAATTTTCAAAGAATTGCACGGTTGAACTTGAGCATAAAGATCACTTTTATCCAAACATGCAAATGTTTCTCTAGAAGAGAAAGAAAGAATAAATAGGAAATGCAAAATTTTGACATCCTATTTCTACCTATTATGGTGCTGATTGATACATGTTGAAAACCCCACCTAGTGGAAAAAGTTTGGTTGTCGATATTGTTGATGTTGTATTGAAATGAGCTTGAAAACAGGGCTTTTATAATAAAGTTGTTGGAAATAGTTTCATATCACAACAATAGCATAAATAGGAGCTTACCTGTAAACTCCCGTCAACACCTTTCGAATTTGCTGCACATGCTATAGAATGAAAGTATCCGGTGACAGCAGCAACAACAAACTGTGCCGCAATGTCTGGGAAACCTCTTAAAGTATAATGAGACATCACTGCTGTATTGAACAATGCCCATTTATGCCAGGCTTTGGCCCATTTATTTGCATATTGAGTAGCTTTTGAGAATGCATCGAGTATATCTACAAATATTGAAACAAAATTAAAAATTGATCAAATATTCTATTATGTTAAAGATCCAAATTATGAACACTAAAACCTTTTATGGATTCCTCAACCAGTCCAGGAGAAAGTGTCCACTGCCAGGAGCCAAGATTCAGATAAACACGAGCAAGGAGAGGAACACTTGGATTTAAACCACTAGTGAAGACCGGGTGTGTAACTGGCTGAATGTTGGGTACATTTGAACATTCCATAGCTAAATCCTAGGCAAGATAATGCAGAAGGATGGTTGATTAATATTCAAGCTCAGACAACTGAACAATACACAAGAGGAAAACATATGATACCTGTAGCCTAACAAATGCTTCTCTGCGCTTTGAATCCTCACCAAGTGACCACTGGAACTTCAAGTATGCAAGCATCACTTGAGGTGGGCCATGATATCGCACATTTTCAGGTGTTATTTCAGGGTCATACTGTGATCCGGAAATAAATTAAGTTTAGTAAACATGTGAGAGTGAACATAAGATAGAAACCATCATAGACCAGGTGTACATTACAAACCTGTAGAAGTTTAACTAAAGTAGATCTTGCTTGGTTAATGCGCCCACTTTTTCTGCAAAGGGAAGCAAATTTTAGCCACGTTTCAATGTCTTCCCCAGGTGGCAGCACAAGTGTTCTAACAGCCAAAAGTGCCTGCCAAACCTGCCAAAAATTCATCACAAAGTCAGAGGAAGGAAATCAAAAACCCAGATTTGTAAAATGTTATTACACATATAAACGTTGGGTTGCAGAAGCTCAAAACAAACTTAAGTCGTTGCAGATTTGAAACTGAATATGGGACATCGCAGCCCACTTGCTCCATTCCAGAACTACTGCAACATCCCATTTTAGAACCACTGGTGCTATAATGGCGGGATTTCTAAGGTTAATTCCAGCTGCAAGGCTTCGAAGATTGAAATCTATGATGTTTCATTAAATGAAATCTCCTAAAAGTAAGCAAATATTTATTCTGACATCTTAAAAAAATAAAATCCTTTTTTATCCACACTTAAATCGACCTGCTTCAAGCAACTTAAAGAGTCACTGGTCTCCCGACACTCATCACACACACAAAGTCCCTATCCTGCTTCAACTTCGTTCCAGTAGCCCATTCCAGTTACAGTATATATCCAGCAGCTCACGCCTGCTTTGTGAAGCTTCTTGCTGTGTATGGCCTCTGAATTCTCTTTCTCGATATCACTTTCTCATCCACTGTTTTGTTTAGCATTGACTTAATGTTACTAGTTATGTTTTAGACTGTTAATAATAACTGTCGACCTATGGAAAGTCATTAATTAATACCACTCATCACCATAACCTCAATAATGTGACCTGGCATAAACGAATCCGTTTGTTTTCAAAGAAACAACAAACTAATAAATGGATCCATTTAAAGTCTCAAAAGATGCTAATTACATTCATCTGAATCTTACCCATAAATAATGTTTAAGCATACATATTAATTTCCATGGAGAAAATCTGTTTACCTCAACATTGCTCTTGGCTCCTTCTATACGCTGAGTCCACATGTTGCGAATAAGAGCCCGTCGCTCTTCAGCAACTCTGTCTCCAATAGGAAGTGTACAGTAATCAATCACCTGGGAGAAGAAAAGATTTTCCCAAGTTATAGTCAATCATTACATTATGTGGTAAGACTCAAAGTTAGAACATCTGAATGCTAACCTCTTCTAGTTCAGATAGCTGCTGAACACGAACCATATTGCTGTAAGCCCGCTCATAGCTCTCCAAAACCTTGAGGTACAAACAAATCAAGAAGGAAATGATTTGCAGAAAAATTGGCTTCATTTGTCACTGTAAAATCTAGGTTTACTTGGTGGGAGGTCATGCCTAGCCTTATTGCACGGTTTCTTGTGTCATCTACCTTACTATATGTTGTTTTAATTTTTTTGTTTTTTTATTTATGTCACTTCATGCCATTGTGATTTTGCTTGCTTTTAATAATGCTTTGGTTTGATGGAGATGATTGGTAGACTCTTAGGTGCCCCACAGTTGGGATTTCAAACTCGTGATGACTTTGCATGCAAATCAAATTTTATCAAAAATAAAATAAAATTAGATGGGAATTGAAAGATAATATTATTTATTTGAATAATGAACATAATCAGTACAAAGTTTCAGCATCAAAGTCAAATTGCTGAAAGCTTATGCACCTCTGATTCAAGGGAAATTTGTCCAAAAAAGCTGTAATTGGTAGAATGCTCAAGAATGTGTTTTTTTTTTGTAAGAGTTGTATGGTGATTGTAGATTATACAAAATATGGCACATTAAGTCGCATAATTGCAACAACAACAAAAAAAAACATTTACCCTTCCAAAAAAAAGAGAAAAGTTTCAATTTAAACTTCTTGATACATAATGATAACACACTAAATGACTGAGGCATGGTATCCAATAAGACTACACAATTGAAGAAATTCAAATTAATTAATGCTAAAGAATTAATTCTGAAGAAATTCAAATTAATTAATGCTAAAGCATTAATTCTGAAGGAGCAATTTAATAAAGCACACTCACCAAAGCAGCAAGCTCTGTTGCCAGACATTTTCTAGCTCTTTCAACATACTCCCGTGCTTCATCGTACTGCCATATAGATTGGAATCACTGCAAGTGAAATTGGAAAACGAAACAGAAAACAAGAGAAGTGGATATCTTCAACAAATTAAATACCTTTCCTCTGCGAACTGATAGAACAGCCCTGAAGAAGGTGCCATTACTACTCACGTCACTGCTAGAAGCATTATTTCCTGCAGTTCGAATTTTTGTTTCGTCGCCATCATCTAACCGAGACACATATTCAGCCATTTGGTCCCATTCTCCCATGTTCCAAGCAGCATTAGCAGCCTAAACCAAAACGAAAAGTATCATAAACACACTAACACAAGCAGTGGAAAATGTCCATCACACATAAACAAAGAACAAACCCCACCATTGGTGCTATTTCAAGACGGGTTACTGCATCTGCTGGGGTCCAATATTCCTTACATAGATCACTTAACTCTTCCCATCGAGCTAATGCAGCAAGGCATCTCATCCTACCTGCAATACAAGCTTCCGGCTCACAATTATGCAAAACATATAACGGAAGTTTTTTCCCACTAGGTGAGGTAAGCTACACAGATAAAAAGAAATCATAATATCTTATCAAAAGTCTTGTTTGGAGATAAACCTAATTAAAATCTTAGTTATTCTTACATAGTTCACAAATAAAATTTCTCAGTCCTCCTCTTGCAAAGAGAGATATTTAATATATGTTGATATATCTGTAAATAATATATTATGTAGAATATTATGTATTGAAGTTGTATTTGTGTTGTTGGAGTTTGCTTAGAATTCTGCATTGCTTAGGTTCTGAAACGGTTGAGTGTATAAATGTGTGAGGGCAACCTCACCGAGCTAACTTTAGGTGCCATAACATGCCCAAAAAATGTGCATGTTGAAGCACACTGAAATAACTCAAAATAAGAAAGTTAGAATGAAACTGAAGTCAAGGTTACCGACCTAAAGCAGTGTCCAACACAAGTTGCGCACTTGTTACTTGAGATGCCTTTGCAGTATATGCCTTGAGAGCATCATCCCATCGCTGCAGTTTCTCGTACCTAATGTATATATACTATAAGTAACTAGTATTCTTAATAGCATTCCAAGAGATATAGACCAAACATTACCATGACTCCTTAAGTTGAAATTCTAGATGTTGTTGAGCATAGGTCAATACTCCAACTGCAGCCTACAAAAGCAAATGTTTGATTGAAATGCCTAGATAGCAAAGTCAAAACTACGATAGTAGCAGCCAACTGTTAAACTTGACAAGAAATCAATTTTTAAAATAAACCTCGTGTTGGTGCAATTGGTTGTTTATATGAATAAGAGCTTCAACTACAGAAACTGGATTAGCATCCATCTTGGTGCAACGAGCTCCTTCAAATTCCATTTCTTTATAGTGCAAGGCCTTTGCAAATGCACGACACTGTATGTCATACATAGAAGAGTAATATCACATGAAAAAGAAGAGGGAAAGTCAGAAAAATATCCAACATAACAGGGTTTAAAAGTTCAAAAGAAAAACATGTGTTGAAGGGTGTGCATACATCACATGCACACAGACACACAAAACACACCCAAAGACAACTACTAAAAACAAGGGGAAGAACCTTCTCTGCAAGAGCACCCAGAAGGCGAATGTCAATAGGAAGAGGTTTCTCATCATGTTCCATGAACTCGGCCTACAGATACAATTAACAAGAGCAAGTGAGTGTAAATTCCAAAAGTAGAAAAATGTCCGTCTAGTCTCTCTCCATGCATTTCCAAAATCAATATTAGTAACTTATGAAATGTCTAACCAATGCATCCCAAAAACCTAAAATGGAAAAACATAATTTCCAACCAACCACAAGTTTGTCATAATAAATGCTTGAAAAAAGATCTATCACGGATCAAAACATTCAATTTATTTTCTAAACAACAGTGATCAATAAACAACAATGACGACAAATGGTAAATTAGTGAGATCCATTTATCATTTGTGTCTAGATAAAGGAAGCAGAGTAAAGCACGAGTTGAAGTACATGGATCAAACAAAACCGTTGTATTCAATCATTGCCTAATTTCTCAATAAATTAGCATACAAATCTATGACTTTCCAACTGTTTCAGGAAGACTCAATTGGTCTCGCGCTAACTCTAACTATAAGTTCATCAACCTCCACCCCATCTAATACACTATTTTTACTGCACTAAGGCTTTTATTGGTTTCTTCCATAACTGAATAATCCTAGGTGAAATTAACCATCTGTTCTTCAACAGGTAGGTACTATCCCTCCTTCTCTCAAAGGCAATCACTTTTAATCCATCTATTGCATGTGCATTCAGGGTTGCAAGACTCTCAATGTGTACAGTACCGCATTTATCTCTTTCAGTCATTCCCTTAACCTTTTGAGATAGTTGGATCATACATGGTATTACGGCCTTTATAACTCCCTACTCATTTAACCTTTCGAAAAATAGTTGGCTCATATAAGGTGTCAGGGCATTTAGGACCATGTAGTGCCCGCAAGAATGAAGCGAAGAACTTCATTAAAGGTTACTCCATTGTGAAATGTAATCACTATGAAGAAAGAACAATCTTTAATGATGACAGTAGCTCAAACTCCAGTCTCCAGTGGTCGTTTCTATCTTTATCGGAAGCCAATTCAAACACTATAGCGAAAGCCAATTCAAACATTGATTTCTGGTTTGCTAAGGAAAGACAGTGTCTTAATTGTGGACTATGGGTCCACAAAAGATGGGAAAAAATATTGGTTCAAAACTCTCATGGAAAAATGAGAAAATGGAGATATGACAGTTATGGTTACCTTGAGAGAAATACCAAACGATCTTAAGGCAGTTGGGTTGTGTTTACGTCTCTGTTAGTTCCTATTCTGGAAACGCGATGGATTAAAGCAGAAGGAAAAACTTAAAATTCTGCAGAATAACTGGTATCAAGGGTTCCGATCAAGGGAGGAAGAAAGAAAATCAAAGTTGCTGATCGAGGGAGGAAAGAATAGTAGCAAAAGTTTTGATTAAGGGAGGAAGAAAGAAAAACAAACTTTATGATTGAGGGAAGAAAGAAAAGTTACGAAAAAATTTATTGAGGGAAGAAGATAAGACAAATAGATTGAAGCGTAAGGATTTTACAAATGTGATTAAGGGAGGAAGAAAAAAAGACAAATAGATTGAAGCGTAAGGATTTTACAAATGTGATTAATCATTATAATGATCTTAAACTTTTTGAAGATGGAATAGATGACGAAGTGAAGAAATGTGAGATTTTGGATGATGGGAGAATTTGCTGGATCAATATAAATAGAAGGGTTAGTTTGAGTTTTCTTCACCAAAACAAAATGTAACCTTTTGAATGTAACAGAGTTTCAGTAGTTGTGCGTCATGTGAGTGTTTAGATGGGATTTACAGCTTTTCCGTCTAAAAATTGATGTTGAGAGGGTTTGCAATTTTTCCGTTCAAAATTGTAATTGAAAGAGGGGTTGCAATTTTTCCATTCAAAATTGTAGCTAAGATAGGGTTCAAAATTGTAATTGAAAGATGGGTTGCAATTTTTCCATTCAAAATTGTAGCTAAGGTAGGGTTTGAATTTTTCTGTTCAAAAATTGTAGTTGAGATGGAGTTTACAATTGTAGTTGGAGGGTTTGCAAATTTTCCATTCAAAAATTACAATTATATAAGATTTTGTAAATTGTGTTAAAAAATGTGATTGGGACTAACTAAACCCTACAAAACTGGACATCTTGAGTGGTGAAATAAATGGTGGGTGACCTGATAACGAAAATCTGATAGCATGTTAAAAAATAAGGTTGGACCTAACTCAACCCTACAAAACCGACTTGTAGCGTAAGGATTGTTCTCACTTATAAAGACATGTTTAGACCTTCTATTGTCTGATGTGAAATTCTTAACAGAACCTTACTAGCCTATTGTCCAAATATATATATATATATATATATATATATATATATATATATATATATATATATATATATATATATATATATATATATATATATATATATATATATCAACACCAAAAATCCACTAATGTGCGAATATACTTTTCAAATTGTAATATCAAATGCAACAAATAGTTGCAAACAGTAACTACTTTATCATCTAAATTCTCTACTGTCCAGACACATTAATGTTACACATCTTTATGTAAAGAATCACTTTTGGTAATTTGCAACCAATCAATATTCTTTAGCGAGAAACCAATGAAGAAATAGCATCACGCACATTTAAAATTCAAAATAATTACAACAATGAGAAACTATACCAAATTGAGAAGAGTCGCCAATATTTCCGGAGGAATATGTGGAGAAGAAAATGCCATTTCAAGATTTCGAACCATATGCCTCTGAGTGGCCTCATTCAACTGTGCCCAACAGCTGACAAATCCAGCCGCAAACAATTCCCTCCCAATAAAAGGCTGTAAAACAAAGTGAAAATGAAATTCAGATAGTAAAAGGAAGACCATCCATACTCCAATGAATAATACAAATATCTAATGAAACCTGTAACTGTGCAAGCCTAGCACAGGTTCGTAGGGCTGGAGAAGGAGATTCCTTCAGAAGTTGAATGCTAAAATGTCTCATCCATTCTGCCCAATCTTCCCTTGTACTTCGCTGAGAAGCTTCCCCAGCAGACCGCAATCGACTATCATTAACCTGTACGAAAGTTACCAAGCCATCAATAAAAAATGAATTTGGTATTCAATAAACTCAGAGTTTTGGGTTGGGCCCTAAATCGTCTCTACAAAACTGGCTTGTAAGGTGAGGATTGCCCCCACTTATAACCACAACACATGCCGCCATATTTCTAAGCAATGCAAGACTAAATCTTCATTTCAAAACCAATAGAAGTTCAATGATAAAAGGATAAAAACTTTACGAGTCATCAAAAGAGCACACCTGATGTCCTTTGAGTTTGTGAGCATCAGATCCAGCTTCATAAGGATCATTCTCCGCATCATCTAGCGGATCACTAATAACCTCAACAGGAAGTCGACGGTTCAGTCTTTGAGTTGCTGTGGTCCCAAGGATTAGCGGCTCACGTCTCTGTAAACGGCCTTCAATTTCCTCAAACTCCTTGTGCTGTTGCAGTATATTACTCTTAGAACTTTTAAGAGAGACTAGAGACGTTAAGGGTGAAACAAAGGGAAAAAGTTGAGAGGGGAAAAAAAAAAGGAACCTGCAATTGATATTTCCGAAGAAGTTTGTTTATTGATGGTATAAAAATCTTGAAATCCTCGCCAAGGGCATGAGCCAGACAGCAAAGTGCATCAACAGCATCCTTTCGGAGCTCATCGTTTTTCCTGTAAATTAGAAGTACAGTCAATAAACATCACAAAATCAGCTAAACAGAATGCAACAAAGGATAAGAACAAGAGTTGAAGGAGAAATGATGATCATCAACTCTTGTTACCACCTTTTATCAACCCGACTGGTTTAACTACAAATATATATCATTACATAGAGAGGGACGACAAAAAATTTAAAATCCAAGACAATTATAAGCATGCGATATGGAACAGGAATAAAGAAGTAAGGAACAATCCCAATAATCCAACGAGTAGCTATCATCCTTAAGATAGATAACATGGCTTCTATAGGTTACTAATCAGACTTTAAAACTTATAAAGACAAGTAGCACAACAAACTTAAAACTCAATGTACAAGAACTAGAAGAGATCAAGCCATACTTGGCTAGGGAAAAGATATCCTTGAGGAAAAATGCCAAGTTCCTAAACTATTGATGATTAATCCCTAAATCCTCAAATGCATACCTTCAATTCTAGTTTATTATTGCTTTTAATTTTAAATTAATTATAAATATTCTCCCCAAAATGCATCATTCTCCCAGCATTGGAGAACAAGCTGTCAAGAAGTTTCCTTCAAGTATAACCCACCACTTCATTAAAACACTAAGATTGAACTAGGCACAGAACAGCTGCAGCATAAGATAGCTCACCTGTAACTGAGAATGAATTTATGTTTAATGACTTCATGGATATGCGATAGAAACCAACTAATATAAAACAGAAAATAGGGAAAATCCCTTTGAACTACAAATTAATGTCGCAAAACTTCGAGGGTCTGCAGCTCCCTAATGCCAAAATAGCCCTTTTACAATATAATTCCAAGATAATAAACCTCCCCTATCATCCCCTATTTATTCATAATATCAACACACAATTAATAATATGTAACTGCTCCTAATAATATAATAATTTTCCACCAAGGCTTCTAATAATTTCCTATTAACCACTCCTAGTAATATAATAGCAGTTACAAAATTGAAAAGGACTAACAATACTCTGCCCCTAAAGATTCACCTTGTCCCCAAGGTGAAGGATAAAATAAGTGTCCACTAGGGTCCCACAACTTGAAGTAGAGTGACGAGCAAGGTGTGAAACATGATAACTAATGCCTAGATCATACACTGTTTTGCGTGGTCTGTTTGACCCAAAAAAACATAGCATGACAGCAGTAGGCATTAACAGCGCTGATTCGGTCAACCAAAATATAATCCAACCTTCACCAAAGACAAGTTTGGAGACCTCCTGGTCCTCGATTCAAACACCATACTCGCATCATGTCCATCGAAGTGTCTATCGACACTACGAAATTTGCAAAAATTTGCTTTTGTCTCATGTTGCTTTTCCATAATGGCATTCACTATAGAATTTTCGGCATCTTCTACTTTTACGATTTCTACCTTTTCCTCATTTCTCTCTATTGTTGTGTATAAATGAGAGCCAAATTTCATCAATTTGTTTCTACTTGTTGAAGGTTGAATGTGTGAGACATCAACGACTCCATTTCCAATTCAAGTTCTTCTTCTTCATCAGATTGAGGTAGAATGTCTCTACTCTGGCTTTAAATGCCAAAGTAGTGCAATATGAAACGTCCGCCAACTCGCTTGTAGATGGCGTTGACTCCACCACTGGCAACCATATGAGAGCATGGTTTCTTAAGGCTTTCATTGCCTCGGCAACTTCTCATTCTCCGGTGTTCCCACAAAATCAAAAGGCTCCTCAATACAAATCAACAACCAATAGGCATCATTGCTGCCGTCAAACCACAGCATGTCCATTTTCCCTATAGTGAATTTTTTGCCCCAGATCAGAACTGCTCTGATACCCATTGATAGAAACCTACTGATATGTAAAATAATATAGGGACAATCCCTTTGAACTACATATTAATGTCGTGGAATTTTGAGGGTTTGCACCTCCCTCTAATGCCAAAATGACCCTTTTCCAATCAAATTCCATGATAATAAACCTCCCTTATCATCCCTTATTTATTTTAAACATAAACATTTAATTAGTAAAATGTACCCGCTGCTAATAATACAATAATTTTCCACTAAGGCTCCTAATAATTTCCCACTAACCTAAGGCTCCTAATAATTTCCCACTAACCACTCCTAATAATAAAATAGCAGTTACAGAACAGAAGAGTTGTAACAGTCTGCAAGCTATGCTTCACAATACTATTTCCTTAACTATATTTTTAAATTTTAAACATCTAGTCGAAAGAATTACAAGGTTAAAGGACAATGTGTGCAACAATATATTTTGAAGTTTTAGAATTTGCAGACTCACCCATCCAAAACTAACTTCAAGTGATGAACGAGAGCGGATATGTGACCAGTGACCTGATTACAAAAGGATAAAAGATCAAATATCAGACAAGCACAATAGATATCAAACACAAGTCCGATTTAAAGATACTGGGTGAGTAGAAACAAGTAACAAACCTGCACACGAGGGATCAATCTTGTTAAAGTTTGAATTGCAGCACGTCTTATGGTAACTGAGGTATCCACTTTAAACAGCCTAATAAGAGCAGGGAGAAGTAGATGCATGTGTTCATCCAAGGTCCCTGAATAACCAGGAAGAATATTGTCAGTTCAGATAGTGCTGCACATAACAGTTGAAATAAGTCAATCATATATAAATTATATTAAAAAAAAAAAAGAAGGTTCACTACATACAAATAAAAAGAGGGGATGGAGGCAGAGCATAGCTACTATATTGAAAATACTCACCTACTCTTCAGCTTTCTATAGTAAAAATAAGTGATATTCAGACACAGATTTTTTATTCTTTTAAAAAAAACACTAAAATTCTATTATTTCCACCATTGCCGCTACATCCGCTAGCAGACACTGGAATAATGGCCACTATTTGACAACACTGTTTCTAGTCACCTCAACCACTTAATCTATAATATCATTTTAGACTTAAATATGTAAATGGTACCTGCAAATATCAAGAACTTTGGTTTTAGTCACACTAAATACTATTTTAATTCTAGTCCTTGAAAATATACAAATTGTTATTATTGGTCTTTGATTTTTTGCTTTAGTCACTAAAATTGATTCTATTAGAATTAGTGCCTGTAATATGTAAAAGATATGATTTTAGACCTACAAAATAAAGACAAACTAATATTACATATATCAATTTTGATATTAACATATTTTACAAAGATTAAGACTAAACAGCAAGGTTAAAAACAAATTGTAGTATATTTGCAATGACCAAACAAACAAAAAAGTTACAGAACTAAATCCAAGACTCTTGATATTTGCAGGGACTAAAAGTATAAATAAACCTTCATTTATATAGTAGGAGCAGTATTACCCCCATGAAGCTAAAAATATAAAACTTATTTTACCATTGGTAGCACCCATTCTTGTCTTTTGAATTTCATGTTTATATTTTGAACATTTACATGTCACATACACCATTCCATTAGCAATTTAAATAGATTAGTAACAGTGTGTGATTTACACTGTCTAAGTTTAAGAAGGTGATTGGTTGAGTTGGACATGCAAGGTAAGTTTGCGCATAATGAAAAGTCAAAGTGGTAATTTGATTTAGCACTTGAATAGAAGTATGCAGTATGCTACAGGACAGAGAACAGACCACCAAAAGTTTCTAGGGTGTGGAGAATATCAAGAACATAAGTGTAATCATTGCACCGTTCTGCATCACTAATTATCTGAATACATCTCGGCAGAATAACCGGTAGATATGTCCTAAATTCATCATTAAGAGCCAAGCAAAGTTGTTCTACCAGGTGAAGTACCTGAAACATTGATAAAAGGAAAATGTAAAAATATTCTTAAACCACGAGAAAGTATCTATTGGTTTATTCTACCAAATTTAGAGAAGCTGCAACACGAACCGGATAGCCAAGGGTAGGACGAGTTGGTGCTGGAAGAGAGAATGCTAACCATAACTCTGAAACCAAAGAAAGCAAATCTTGCAAATATTTTCGAATGTGCTGCACAGTAACATCATGATTAGGCCAGTGGGCAGGAAAAAAAAAAGTAATCATACAAGATATTGCATTCAATTTGAAGACATTAAAATCTACCTGGCGCACAATTGACACCAGAGTTCCAAGCTTCCATGTTATAAAGTCCTTCAAACTATCTTCACATGTACGAACAGTGTGAAAGAGATCAGGCAAAACCTACCAGAAGGAATGGGGAAAGCCATGGTAGAATCAACAAAAACTATATCCATCACCCATAGTATCCCATGTTCAGAAACAAATTCTTAGGCACCAAGAAAGATACCAAATAAAAACAACATGAAGGTCCAACCCAAATTTAAGCTTAAGGACTAACCTTTGGCAAGTATGGAACGCATCCTAGTCCCATTGACTGACCTCACAAACAAAATTTCAATCATATTAGCAGTGATTATCCATAAAAATATATGAATTTGTAAATCAAAGAATGAACCAATCAAAAAGAACACTTAATAGTTCATTAGTTTCCAAATTAGATCATGATAAGAAATCAAACTAACAAGATTGATTTTAATACTATTTATACACAACACCTTTTATGTACAAAAGTATTTACATGATACAAGATTAATCCCTATTTGCTACTTTCCTAAATTAAAGCTATGTCACAACCATACAAATCTCAACCCACAACGACGACTTGTAAGGTACAGATTACCCAAGTCATCGTAAGAACTACATGTCACATATTTCTAGTCAATGTGAAACTCTTAGCATTCTCCAATTTCTATTTAGGGTTTCCTCCAAAAAAGGTTCAAGCTCGTGTCCTCCCAAAATTTTAAGTACGCCGCTAGTTCTGTCAAAATTTCAGTTACATCAACATACGTGGAGGGAGAGAAATAAACTAAACAGAACAAAGTCAACTGCCACTTTGTCTTATTTACCCTTTTAGAGAAGAGAACAAATAAGGATTTAAACCCATCTGAGCCCAAAAAAATCAAGACGGAAGAAAGAAAAAAGAAAATACACGGTGCCTCTTTCAGGCTTGTATACCTTGAATATGAACATCAGAGACCCAACCACCTTTAAGTGATAACTAGCAAGTGACGGGTCCCTCAAAATCCGCATGAGAGAATTAATGGCAACCTTTAAAAGAAACATAAACATTATAAGTATGAATCAATATAAGCAAATTAGAAATACTAACATGGAATAGTAATAATTGCTACCGTGGAATAATGGTCATCTGATGAAGCGAAAGATGGCCACAAGTCCATGGGAGATTCATCGATAGACTGAATCTGTTGACTTGAATCAGAAGCAGGGCGCGTAACTTCTCCATGAGGCCCTGGAAGTGCTTTTTGATTTCGTTTATGCAAATGAGGATCCAAAGCACCCATTATGCCAAGAACCTGGCAGAAACCAATTATAATTTACTACCACATTTGTACCCATGTCAGAAGATTACTTAATTTATTTCTCATAATCACCTTCAATACTTCGCGTCTGGTAGACCACACTAGCTCACCATTCAGTAATTTTAAGAGTAACCCAAGTAATTGTGGATACTCGTTATATGGAGTAATAACATACCTGCAAAAATAGTAAAATAAATTTGAACTATATTAAAAGAGAGAACTGAGCATATAACTTGGATATCTGATTCAAACCATTTTATTCTTCATATGAATCAAAGTTTAAAAACTAAGTGTGCAATTTGAACTATATATGAAAAATGAATGAAAAAACTGCAAATGGATGCACAAGTTTTTGAATAGTTTTGTCAAAAAACTATCCCTAAAAAGATAGAAACACAAATAAATGCACACTTATTTTACATATGCATACCCAGTGCTCTGTACAACTTGACCAAGGGTAGCAACAGCTATTTCACGTTTGGAGACAGCTGCTCCATCCAATAAAGCATCAACAATTAAAGGCATAAGTTCAGGAATGTATTGCCTCATTGCAAAACCGCCCTAAACAGAACCACAGCCCAAATTAGTTGGTTACCAATTAATATAAGAATTACGCTCTCAAAAAAAAAATAATATAAAAAGTACAAAAAGGAAAATTTACTAACCACCCTAGCAAGATCCCCCACAGTTACAAGGACTCCACTTATAATTCCAATATTGGCACTAACATCAAGAAGTCTGGCCACAAGTGCCTGATATATAATTTTAAAAATCATTAACAATATACCAAACAAAATAAAACAAATATGTATCTTGAATAGCACAACAAGATAAACCTTATGAATTGGAGCAATGTACGGAAGTATTAGTCTTTCACAATTCCTTATCAAACAGCCGATTAACTTCGCACTTTCCTCCTTGCATTTGCTATCTGCACTGCTGACACATCAAGAGAATTAAAATGGGCAAGGAATAGAAAAGTTATTTTGTTCTTCATTGCACCCTATAATGCTGAATCTTTCTATTAAGGCCCTTATCTCCCATTAAAACCTCAAAGTTACCTTTGCCCCAAGTATGTTAACAACTGTATGAGATATCGACGAAGAGCTGGAAGAACATATGCAGGATTTTTCTCTGACAACCTTCCAGCCACAGAAATTGTATACTCTCGAACATCAAAATCCTGCAGAAGGAGACACTATCAATAAGATCTAACGAAATGGCACTCCAAACACAAACTAAATGAAAATAAGTCCCTACTGTACAAGAGCACGTGATGATATACCATAACCACGACTTTGTCACAAAAAGGCAATAGAATCTACAATTTGTGTCATTAATGGATGAATATCCCAATTTTGTTAAAGAGCCAAGCCCTTTGGAATTAATTTAATAAATATAAATGGTGAAGGAGAGTATAAAAATTTCACCATCAAACACAACACAGAGCTCAACAAACCCGGCAAAAAAGAGAGAAAAAAAAAAGCTAAAAGCAGTGGGCCAACCTCAAGTATATTTGTGACATTTATAAATATAAGAGATAAATGTCATTCACAAGACACCTATCAAGCAACCACCCTTGCAAAAATATTTTAACATTGTGCAACCTTATATAATAAGTTTAAAACTGGTCAATCGAGCCTAAGGGAAGATCAAACACTAGCAAATCAAAATCCAAAGGCTAACATGACATCTAACCAAACAAAGTACCCGGTCTAATTTTACCTCGTCATTTAAAGCAGCAAATACTGCACTCAAATTGTCAGCCTGTGCCAAATACTCATCAAAACCTCTATCTCCATGAACAGAAGTGAAGATAGAGTGGCGTACAGTAACATCAGCATCTGCAACAGCAGAAATGAGAAGCTTCTCCACAAGCTGCAGAAAATCAAATACCACAAAGCATTACAACATGATTATCACGATGCATCCACCTCACAAGAACTGACAGTGAAACTCAGAAAAACAACAAACCCCTCAATACCACAAAGCATTCTAGTCTCTCTGCAAGTATGACAAAGATCTAAACACTAAGCCAGGCAATGGACAATGAGGACTCCAATTCCAAAAAGGTTGTTAACATGGGATTTTCAATTTTCAGTGATTCAAAAATTTCAAGAATAAATAAATTGGAATAATGATCAAAAATAAAAATAGGAAAACAGCAAACCTCCTCAACAAGACGGCGGCGCTTCCCTCCTGATCGAGACAGCCTGTTAGAACCAAAATGTGCGCTCGCAATACCAGAGAAAGAAGTAGCAATTAATTTGCAACAACATAGAGCTGCATCTTTTCGTGTAGATCTATCCTCGTCATCCAAATAGACAACAACCGATTCCCTCGCAAATTCAAGTAGATCATGGCCCTATATCAACAAAGCAAAATAGCGTTACAATCTTTGGCCATTTTCGAATGACTTAGAAATATCAAAATAAATAAATAAATAAATAAGAGATGAGGACTTCATCATCCGTGACAGAAGTTCACACATAAAAGAGTATACAGAACCTTAAAGTTAAAGCGGGCAAGGGTCTGCAAAGCAAGCTGTATAAGAGCAGAACCACTAAGCTCTGAAACTTGCTGACTGATATTTATAATTGTTCCTTTACCGATGCTTTGCACAGGCCTCCCTAGATAAGGAGATTTAGAAAGAACCATAGATATACTGTCCAGTAGCCGGTCTTGAATGGTTGGCATCAGAGATGGAATGCTGAATAACAAAGATAGAAACTACTTATAAACTATTTACTGAATAGCTGAAATTTCTGTTCAAAGTTGGACTCATACCTCATACTTATTTGCTCAAGAGTTTCCACAAGAACAGTCGAAAGACCAGATGAAAACATAACATCCAGAAGGCCACGAATATGAGGTTCAGTAGTAGGCCCCATTGCTTTTGCTATATTTCCCACACATGCCAAGGCCTCAAGTGAAGGTTTATTCCTACGGGGAGCAATCTGCATTTATAAAATACCTACTGTCAAAAGATGGCATTGTCATGTCTTGTAGAACATAAAAATAACCAACCTTTAAACAAGAAATGAAACAAGCAGCAAGAAAAAAATACGGCTCAAGACTGGCATCAATAGTGTAACATACTGCCTCGCGTAAATGAGTACATATGGTCGGCAAATAATGGCTAAGTTCCCCATCCAGTGCTAAAGCCATCTCTCCGAGAGCAATAAACCCACTATCACGATCTTGAGGAACTTTCAAGACGGAAAGAATATGATTCATGCATATCTGCACAAAATTTCATTTCAATAGGCACTCTAGTAAGTAAAATTTTGAAATCACACAAAATCCACCATTCTCCTCCCAGTACAAAAATCAATTAATAGGGAAAATTAGCATACAGTTAAATAGTTGGTAACAAAACGATCACGCAGAAAATGTGCAATCCGAGGTAGCAACGAAGTTATGCTCAAGCGAACAAGTCGATCCCGGTGCTCTAGATATCTAAGAACAATTTCGGCAACTTCTCGGTATCTTGACATCATGAACTCTCCAGTATTCCTTCACAGCCATAATTAGTACCAGACAAGTTAATTCCAAAAATATTGAGAAGATTTATAATTAGAATCAAAGACATATTTTATGATACTACATTAAGTAAATAAAAAAAGATAAACTGATTTCCATAAACAAAATTGTCCTTGTAGAAATTTGCAGATAACAGAAGCCCAATGGGCACAAACTCAATGTTTAATTTCAATTGTACATGCACGTTGACAAAATTATGCCTAACCATTAGGAGTGTCAAGAGCATGTTACACTTTGTCTATAAGTAGGGATCTTGTAAACTAGCTTAGAGTAGATTTGACTAGCTTATTTCACCTATCTTGTAAAGTTTTTTCACTAGCTTATAAGTTTCTGTATACATTGTTTCAAGTAATATTTGAGCTAACAGTTTCTTTTCTAAATTTTACCAGAACTATTTTAATTAACTACTTTGTCTACCCTCACCCCACAAAAAAATATTGAATGAGAGGAAATATGCCACTTACACAATTCATTTCACTTGATAAATATTAAAGGAACTCATACAATGTAATTCCTATTGCAATTACTGTGCACTAGCTGTAGTATACTTGCATTATCTAATTGTTTCTAACTGACTCCTAACTGTGTGAGTCTATAAAGAGATCACACATATTGTAATTCAATTGAGAATTATCTCTATCAATCAGTAATAATATAGAATTCTAACATGGTATCAATAGAAGCACCCTATCAGAATTCTGTTTAATCCTGAACACCCATTTGCAGCCAATAGCATGTCTGTTAGGAGGCAAGGAAGTGAGAGCCCATGTTTGATTCTTCCCTAGGGCTTGATACTCATTATTCATAGCTGCTAACCACTTAGGATCTTTGAGTGCTACCTTGTAGAAGGTTGGTTCCAGTTCAGTAAAAAGCAGAGTAGGATGCAGCCTTGGTTGAACAATGCCACATTTTCTTCTAGTGGTCATAGGATGAGTGTTGTTTGGATGCAAGAAAGGAAGGCTCAGGGAAGAAGAAGAATCTGAGGAATTAGAAGTAGTTGAAGTGGAATGTTGAGTAGGTGCATGGTCAGAAGTTGCAGATGAGATGTTTTGAGATGTTTGAGATGGAAGGTTCATAAGGTACATGTGAGGTGTGATGAGATGTAGGGCTTGTTTGAATGGAATTTTCAGAGGATGCAGAGTTGGGAGATGAATTTGCTTGAGATGGTACAGAAGGTGATATAGCTCTGGTTGATGAGCGAGGTTTAAGATGGAGATGAGACTGTAGGAATGCTGATAAAATTAGGTGAGATGGGAAAGGGTGAGGAAAGTGTAGAAGATGATGTGGAAGACGACATGTAAGAAGAATTGAGTTGAGGATGTGGGAATCTGATTTCATTAAAAAGAACATCCTTGGAAATATAAATTCTTCCATTAAGGGCTAAGCACTTGTATCCTTTGTGAGGTGAATAAGGTCTTAGATGTGGGTAGCAGGCACATCCAAAAAGCCTTGAGAAATTTGTAATCAGGAATTTTGTTGTAAAGTATGGAGTATGTTGCAATGGGACATGCACGATCAAGTATGTCGCAGTGGGACATGCACGATCCCATAACTTCAAAGGTGAGACATCATGATCCCAAAACTTCAAAGGCGAGACATGCATGATCCCAAAACTTCAAAGGGAGACTTGCTTGGGCAAGCAGGGTTAGGCCAGTCTCAACCACATGCCTATGCTTTCTTTCAACTAACCCATTTTGGTGGTGTGAGTGAGGGCAAGCTATTAGAGTATGTAAGAGTTATGCTCAAAACTGACACATGTCAGCTTGAGCACTGATAAAACCTGCTATTGCAGGTCAACTAATCTGCTATATATAAAGCAGATGGTTGTAGCTTGTTGTAACTAATTAATTCTGAAATCAAAAGTTAGTTAGATTCAAAATATAGTTACCATTCCCTCTCTTCCTTCTCATAATGTGTCTCTTCCTCCTCTATCAGTTTTGTCTTCATTGCCCTCGTCTCGATCCTCTTCTCATACTACATCACCTCAGCATGTCTCAGCCAGCCAATCTTCTACTGTATCCAAGTCACTTTCTACTAAACATTCCAACTCACCCTTTCAAACTCAGCTTCAGTCTGACTATCCTTCTACTAGTCAGTCTAGTTCCACTCAGTCTGAACAAGCTTCAACCAGTCAGTCTAACTCTGATCAGTCTGATCAACCTTTCCCAACTACCTTTGGTTCTCCTCTGTCAGGTTCTAAATCTGGTTCAACTGCTACAACTAGTTCTTTACAACCTTCTCCTCACATTCCTCCAAAGCAAAGCATGTTTCTCAAATCTATGTTAATTCTCACCATATGCAGACTAGAGCCAAATCTAGCTTTGTTCAGCCTAGACTTGAGCCGAGGCTTCTTCTTGTGACCTCTGAACCAAAAAATGTAAAACATGCTTCTTCTTGTGACCTCTGAACCAAAAAGTGTAAAACATGCCCTCGCAAATTTAAACTGGAAATCATCAATGCAGGAGGAGTATGATGCTCTCATAAATAACAGCACTTAAACAAGCACCTAGACAATGGTTTGAAAGGCTTCAAACCACCCTACTTCAATTACAATTCAAACATAGCAAGTGTGATCCCTCCTTGTTTATCTACTTTCTTGGAGGTCACACCATCTACATTCTAATTTATGTAGATGACATTATTACCACAGGCAGTTCATTTTCTTCACTCTTAGGCAATTTAGTGACCTTGATACTTCCTAGGCATTGAGGTCAAGAAAACGACTCAGAACTCACTTTTGCTCACTCAATCCAAATATATTAAGGATCTACTTTTGAAGACCTACATGTTGGAAGCCTGTCCTGTGCAGACACCCATGCAGACTTCATGTAAATTGGCCAAAACTGGGTCTACAACAGTCGTTGATCCCTCATTGTATAAGTCAGTGGTAGGTGCTTTACAGTTACTATTACTAAGCCTGACATTGCCTACTCTGTTAACAAGGTCTGTCAGTTTATGACTCATCCTCTTGAGACTTTGGGTGGTAGTCAAAAGAATCTTCGGATACCTCAAAGGCACCATTGAACATGGATTGTTGCCTTCTCCTATATCCACTATTGTTCCTCCATATCTCCATGTTTATTGTGATGCTGACTGGGCCTCTGATCCTGATGACAAAAGGAGCATTTTTGGTGATGCAATCTACTTTGGCAATAATCTTATTTCCTGGTGGTCCAAGAATTAGCTTGTGGTTGCCAGGTCCAGCACTGAAGCAGAGTATAGAAGTCTTGCTCAAGCTACTGCTGACTTGTTATGGGTATAAACTCTGCTCAAGGAACTTTTCATCTCTTCCAAGGTCCCTCTGCTCAAGGAACTTTTCATCTCTTCCAAGGTCCCTCAGGTGCTCTGTGATAATCAATCAGCAGTTATTATGTTGGCTCATAATCCTATTCTCCACTCAAGAACTAAGGACATGGAGATCGGTCTCTTAGTAAGATTAATCCTATTCAAAATGCAATTACCACTTCCCTCTACCAATTCTAATGCAAGTAAACCTGTGAGCTATACCTATTGTGTTGAGAAGGGAGATAAGAGATTGAAACTCTTCTTCCCCATCAGTTTGAATAGCTTTAACCTTAGTGGAAAATTGATCTTCAATGGTTGTGAAGAAGTGTGCGTGAGTGATCAAAACATCAAATGAAAGCTTGATTGGAAAAACCCAAGTATATTTAGAGAATGCATCTACACAAGTTAACATATATTTTAAGCCTCAAGTATAGCATAGGGGCTAGACCCCATACATCAGCAAAGAGCAAATCAAAGTGCTTATTATAAGTGGAATGAAATGAAGAACTAGATAGTCTGTGTATTTTGCCTAAGCAACAAAGACTACAAAAGTCTAAGAGAGACTTATTAGGAATAAGAATATGGCAGATTGAGAGTAGCTTAGAGAGCCTCATGAGTCATGATGAGGATGCCCAAGTCTGTTATGCCACATGTATAGGTAGAGGGACCAATTGAAGAAGAGTGGGGACGAAATCCTTTTGCGACATTATTAATTGAGACCAATTGAAGAAGAGTGGGGAGGAAATCCTTTTGTGAGATTATTAATTGAGATAGCATGTGCAAGAGCATGGAAGGGGGTCAAAAGTGTACAGTCCATCATAATTTAAAGCTCCTTGAAGAACTACCTCAGAGTTGGCATGTGGTTTTACATAACAATGATCAACATGGAACTCAAAAAAACACCTTGTTATCTCTCTTGCAAACTTGTTGCCAGAGATCAAGTTTTTCGTAATAGCAAGAACAATCAACAAGTTCTTGATTGTAAACATAGCGTGTGCACTGTGAGAAGTTGGAAAATAGGCAGTGCCAATAGAATAAGGTAAACCTTGACAATTGCCAAGTAAGGCCTGATCAGTTCCAGAAAGAGTCGAGCTTTATGGAAGAAAGTCAGCATTGTTAGTGACATGATAAGTGGCACCTGAGTCTGGGTACCAGCTTTGTGTGTGTTGATTGAGGGTGCAAGGAATCTCAGATCCAGTCCCAAGCCCTGCAAGATAAGACTGAGGTTGATAGGCATGCCTGTGAGAAAAGCCTGGTGGAGAACCTCTTAGGGCAAGAGTGAGCCACTGATTTATACTAGTTATAGGAATGGCCTAACTATGACTATTGATTCACTTATTCTAGTTTGGGAGTTGCATTTGAGTAGGAGAGTAATTGTTCTACATTGGAGGCATTATAGATGAGTGTTTGTGATGGCAGATGCTAGCATCATGTCCATGTTTGAAGCATATTTGGCACTAAACTTAAAATTTGCCACCAAACCCCACCTTTGCGGCGTTTAAAGTTGTGGCCTCCACGAAAACCACCACGAGACTCGCTGAAGTTAGACATCGCATTGAACTGAGACACATTGGATAAGTCAAAGTTACCTAGACACATTGGATAAGTCAAAGTTACCTTGATTGGTGGATTGAGGAGTAGGAGAATTGGCTTGAACAGTATTAATAGAAAAGGGTACAATCAGAGTAGTTTTCATAGATTCATGTGAGAGAAGAATGGATTCAGCTTCAATGATAGGACATAGAATAGGACGATATTGAATAATAGAGGCCAGGGCATTATAGTCTTCAGGCAATCCATATAAGATTGCTTAAAGTTGATCATGATGTGAAATCGGATCATCAATTGATAGGCTTCTCAGCTTTTGTGATGGACTTCAATTCTGACCTCAACTATCTCGATTTGGCATTGGTGTGCACGAAAATGTATTTGTGAACTTCATCCCAAATCTGCTGAGAATGAACACATCTAATTGCTGGTGGTAGAACCGAGTCAGAAAGCATCATGAGAAGCCACGTGACCGGTAACAAATCTTGTTGCTCCCGTGTCGTATACGCAGGGTTTTCAGCATCATGCGTATGATCTTCTTCAATCAGATAACGTAGAGGTATGATAGGACTCCCTAGAAGTCGTTGAAGCTTGTGTGTGCAAATAATAACTTCAATTTGTTGTTCCAACGAACAAAAATTGTTTTCGTCAAGTGTGAGCATCACTTGTATAAAAGTATTGAACACATTCTACGCATTGAGAGTTAGGGCAAACGAAGTTTCGCAAGCAGTGTTGCTTGAATTCGCATTGGAAGCAATGGATGAAGGATCGAGTCAGGCTCTTGATACCAAAGCCGTGGAAAAAGAGAAGAGGTATAGGAGAGAAAAGAGATAGAGTTGGTTAGATCTCCCTGAATCTGTTTTAAGTTTTTCAAAGTTAGTTACACTAATTGTGTGACTTGGTATTTATAGCCAATCCTAACTGTGTTGACTCAGCTCAGTTAGTTGCATCAGTCATTCTTAGTTAGAACTAGTAGAGCTACTACTCTTATAATGATATGTGTGTGTTTATTTTAAGAAATATATAATGATGCTCCCTAAAAGTGGACAAAATTTGTCAAAAATGCTAGTTTTGAATAAGTTACAAAAACATCTACAAATCAACAGTGCAAACGATGAAAATTATATTAACCTCAAAAGTTCTCCAACAGCAAGCAATGAACCGTGTATACTGTGCACTGGGGCATTTTTACCTAATCCATCCTGTGTGGCCTCAAACATTCGATAATACCTGCCATCAAATAGCAAATAAAGGATTTACTTTCCAATAGGGATGCACTGTGCAATAAATTAGCTAAGAAATCTAGGCATGCTGTACAATGAAAGTCAATGGAAATCATAGATCCAAAAGTCAATGGCATAATTACTCCACTCAAAACCCTCCTAGAAAATATTGCTATATTACTCAACAATAACTTAATCACTAGTAGAAATGAATTTAAATGACCAAAGATATCACCCTTCATTGGTCACAAGCCAAATATATTATACTATTATTGATATTCTATAATTCGGTGATCTAAAAACTGTAATATTACTGTTGCTAAAAGGCCCAGCCCATATTTTTACCACCTCCGCCGTGGAGGAAAGTGAGACGAAGTAAACAACCATATGAGTTAGTGCCAATGTTTGTCCCATTTATTTCTTCAGAACCGTGTCAAGTATATCAGGAAACATTGTGAGACACCCCCTCACATCACAAATGAAAATTATGCATTAACTGCCACTGGTATCAGGCTAGGATTATATAATCTATAAAAATCTGAATAAAAATCTAACATAACAGCATCAAGTAGAAGCAAACGAGGTTATCAAGATTTTGCTTAAGATCGTAAAACACAAGATTGTACTTAAGATTGAAAGATCATACTCAATTATTTTTGTAAGATCAAGAGGGGTAGAAAGATTTTAAAATATACGATCATAAAAAAACACAAGATCCTACTAAAATAAAACATAATACTGTACATTTGAAGTATTTTTAGACAAGATTCTACTAAAATAAAACATAATAGTGTATTTGGGAGAAATGAACCTCTTTCATATTCTTTAGACATGTATGAGTGTGTCTTTATCTTTATTACCATTTTCCGCAATAAACATTTGTCGAACATTAGGGACATTTAGCCCATTACTTAGTTTACCATAAAACCTATTATTTAAAACAAACCCTACAAATGAGATGTTTATTCTTTAAATCTTGAATCTAAAAACTTCATCATTTCAAAGGGTGTGCTTTCACCGCCCTCAAACTGTAATTGTTGTTCCTCTGAGTCTTATTAATCACTCCATTACAAAATGCTACTCCCTCTGTCCCACAATGAGTGACTCATTTGAAATAATAAAATGTCCCAAAATGAATGAACCATTTCAATTTACGATGCAAATTAATTATTTTTTTCCAATTGTACCCTTTAATTATTACCACTTTCATCGCTCCCAATACATGATAAAGGGTACTTTAGTGAAAACTTCATTCTTTCTCTTTAATTATTACACTTTTCTTAAGATTTGGATCGTTGGGGTGAGTGAGATTGTAAAACCTTAAAATTTTAAGATTTAGATCGAGATTTTGACAACCATGGAAACAAATGATAATAAATTGTCCTCCATAACAATTCACAGTTTGGACAAGAACTTGTACTTATGCTCAATGCTCCGAGTCTTCCTTTAGTTGATTATTATATCCAAATGCGAAGTAGCAGCAGGCAAGCCGTTGACTAATCTTTATTACTACATAATCACCTTCTGATGGTTTAAACTAGATTTTAGTGAGTTTTTTCTTATGTCCTTTAGTTCAAGTACAATTACTGTCAACATAGTCAACAAAATAGTAATACTATCAACTTCAGGTTTACCCTAGTTTATATGATTAACTTTAAAAAAACTGACCATTGTACACGCCATCGTGTCTCGCGCTTTTCAATAACATTAAGACAGGCACGCAATGCCTCCACAGCCCTCTCACGAACTGGCAATGCTGGATCTCGCAAAGGAACCCAGATAGCATCTACAAATTCCGGGACATGGACATTGAAAACAGTTGAAGCATTTTCTGCCATTTCCTGCAATGACCAAAATAAAAAGATAGTGCGTTATGGAGATTCCATAATTGTGAGAGAATACAAAAACACTATTCTTAATGTAGTTTGTCACTGAAATGCTTATTTAATAACTAAATTCCAAAAATATGAAACCCATGAAAGAAAACTAAAAAATAACTGTCCGACTAGAAAAAGAATCAATATAAATCCAAATCTTCTCGCAATAAATAATAATAATAATAATAATAATAATAATAATAATAATAATAATAATAATAATAATAATAATAATAATAATAATAATAATAATAATAAAACTTACTTTCAAGATTAAAACAGCAGCAAAACGCCGATACTCCACTCTGGGCCCTTCAAGCCAATCGAGTGCAATTTTAACCTGAAAGAATAAACAAAAAAATCAACACACTCATTCAACTCCGAGAGAGGAGCTTATACGAATAGACAAAATGTGCATTAACCTGGCGTTCAACTTCATCAGCAGTCATAGCTCCACCAGCTCTAGCTAGGTGACCAAGAACCCTACTAGCATGAACCAAAATCTCAGGATCACGCTTCGCCTCAAAAACAGTCCTCATATAACTTGAGAATCTAGAGACCTTGGAACCATTCTCTCCAAGCGCCACATCAATTAACTCATCAATTGCCCTAAGAGCTCCAAGATTCTCAGCAACATCACTACTCTCTAAAAGACTTGATATCTTATCATACAATTGATCCATAAATCGAGAAAAAGCTTCACCGCTCAGGTCTCTAGCTTCTTCTTCCAGATGTTTCTTAAAAGCTAAAGAAGCACCTTCCTACAGAGATTAAATTCATTCCAAATTTACATATCAGCTAGTATTCAATCAAATTGCAGCAAGCGTTTTAACTGAAATGAAGAGAAAGAATAATAGTGCTACCTTAGGGTTGCCACGGGTGCAGAGGTCAGCGAGGATGCGATTCAGAGCATCGCCGGGTACGACGGATGGAGGACCAATATAACGGTGGGGATGGGAGTGAGAGTGGAGGTGAGGGTGAGGATGCGACTGAGAAGCGGTCGCCATTTAATTAACCTAAACCCCAAATTAATCAGTGTGTAGTATAGTAGTGTGATTTGAAGATTGATTTATGAACGAACGGAAAGAAGAGAGAGAATCGATTTATGAATGAAAAAAATCTCCGGCATCGTGTTTCGCCGTGGCTGAGACTCGCACGGCGGGGTTCTGTATTTTGTTAAGCTGCGGAGATCACGATTCGCGTGAGTTTCTAGATGGTTTCCGTTCCTTAGTAGGTTAGACACGATAAATCTTTAGATGGGTTTTGTTATTGCAATCCACAAACATAACTAACTCTTGATAATTACTTAATAAATTAGTTAGTAATTCGGATTAAAACAATAATGTATAAATGTATACATAAAAAAGAAAAGAATATTTTTTTGTACTTAATTGATCTCATTAAATATTGTACACATTGAATCACAAACAAATCAAATGTTTTGGCTTCGAAATTATGAAATATAGTGGGACAATTGATTGGATTAAGAAACGTTTGGGAGATAAAGATGCAAGTGTGCAGATTTCAAACTGATTAAGCCTTCGCCTTATGTCCTGGTGTCAGGAAAATTTGGTTGGTCTGCAAACATGGAAAGGTGGGTCTTACTTTATCATACACATTTCATTATAATGTTTTTGAAAATGTAAGTAGCACTGTGCTGAATGTAAATCAAACTTGCTGCTTCAGGCTAATGAAGTCATAAACAATGGGCGATGCCACTAGCTTGGAATTCATGAGAAGCAGAAGGGTGTTTGAGATCAACCTTGACCATCCTATTATCAAGAACTTGGACGTACGAATCTATTTTTGTCATGTGTCTTAAGTCTAATGATATAATTAACTGCAAACTAAAATAATAGTGATGTAATTACATCGGTAAATTACAGGCTGCTTGTAAAACTAATCCCGATGACCAAGAGGCCCTCAGAGTTATTAATCTTCTGTACGATGCAGCTTAGGTTTCCAGTGGACTTACAGTAAGCACTTTGTTAATATCACTGCTATTAAAGAGATTAAGTTGATGACTGCCTTTAGAGTTAGGGCTTTTGTTTGTTTGATGGTTATGTCCAATGTTGAGATGATTCATATGAGGTGCTGATGATCAACATAGTTATGGTTGTATCTATGTTGTCTTAAACTGTTTTGAGGTTGCAACCTCTCATTCAGACAAGTGTGTTGATTTATCATGGCAAACCTGTTAAAAGCATCAGCATTATTATGTTTAGAAAACTACTTTGGTTATGTCAAAATTTGTTTTTTTAATTTGAGTTTGTTAACTCACTTTGACTGTCAATAAGGCAAGGCTTTAGACTGCTTTTGGTTGTTGCCTATGGTAGCATAAGGTTTTGTTGTCTGCTTCTGTGTTAAGCAAGGATATCCTGTTTGACTTATGCAAATATGTATGCCTTTATTGAAGGGACTAACATGGATGTGTTAAGGCATATGTTGATCAACTTTGTTTTGGCTTGCTTTTTTATTATTACCAGAGTTGTTTGCTCATTTTGGTTTGTGATTGTTTTAACAAGATTAGTAGCTTTCATCTAAAACAATTTTTGAATTAGTGTGTGAGTTTGGCATTGTGATAACCAAAACTGTTACTATCATGAGATGGGGAAATTGACTGTTGTCATCAGGTTTTCTACACTTAGTGGACCTATCGTACATCAGGGTTGGCTAATCCATGAGGGCAGGTCTTAGACAGTCTAGGAAAGGCTAGATTGTAGTACTTAGTAGGATCCTTTATAGGTGTTTTGCTTGTGTGAATTTATTGAGGAGAGGGTTGTCATTATAGGTCTGTTTGAATTCATGCCAGGGTAGAATTTCAAATTTCGTTGACATAATGAAAGGTTGTTTTTTATACTGTATTTACTGTCCAAAGTTGTTGAGAGGTCTATCAACCTGGATTCTCATTAGATGTGCATTTGGTGTTTTTGGATTTCACTTAGATTTAACTCATGTCTTGGCTAAGATCAGTTTGGATTGTGAGACTCTTACTTTTGCTTTGTGTGGCGGTAATGCCAATGATGAATAGGTTGGTGCATTGATTGTGCACTGTCAGTCCATTGTCTTGAGGTTTGATTAACCTCTGTTGCCATCTAAGCTTCATTTTGAACCATTTGCAATTTGTGTGTGTGAAATTCTTAACTCATTGCAGCTGGATTGATAAGTTGTTTGTTGGCATAAATTCATTGTTTCAACATTGTTGGATACACAGTCCATTCCTAAATCATTTCACTAACTTACAATTTGACAATCACTTTCTGATTCAGGGTTCATCTTATGGTGTTGGTGCCATGATTGGTAATGCCAGAGAAGAATATGCAATTGATCATAACTCAGGAACTGGTGCATTTTTCTTCCGTTTCGAGATAGGTTTTAAGTTGTAAATAAGTCATAATATGTTGTTAGCAGACTCGGTTTTTTTAGTACTCGAAGAATTGGTACAAAAAGTCCTAAATAATACTAATGTACCAGCATCTTGATGTTTGCTTTTAGATAGTTTTATATTTTGTGGCCAGTGATCATTACTGGACACTCTTTGTTTTTATAATTTTTCATTATAAAATGCTCATTTAGAATGACTTTTTTTACAAGTATATATAAAAAAATTATGTACATTATATAAAATAAATCTACCCGTGCGGACGCACGGGTCTTCGACTAGTTGTTATTGCAATCCACAAACATAACTAACTCTTGATAATTACTAAATAAATTAGTTAGTAATTCAGATTAAAACAATAATGTATAAATGTATACATAAAACAGAAAAGAATATTTTTTGTACTTAATTGATCGCATTAAATATTGTACACATTGAATCACAAACAAATCAAATGTTTTGGCTTTGAAATTATGAAATATATTTAATTAGACAACCTAAGTCAATTTAGAAATTTAAATTATATTAAATTTAAAATTGAGAAAAACACTTATTTTACCATAAAATATTTTTATAACTAATTCAATTATTGTGACAATTTTTTATTTTAGTATAAAATATTGTTAAATGCAAATATTTTTATAAATAAATTATTGAAATAATATAATTGGATGTTAAGTGTTATGTGTTATTATCTAAAGATTTGTTTGAATGAATTTAAATTTTTTATTTTTCAAAATTATTTTTAAAAAACTTTAAAAAAATATATTTTAAAATTGTATAATATTTCAAATGTGTTACTAATGAAAAGTGCAACTAACTCCAATACACTTTGTAGTAACGATATAGATGTAAAAGTCAAGTACTTCACTCATGTAATGAGAAATAAAACACAAGAGCAAGTTGAGCTTACTCTTTTATCATCTTCACCACGAATGCAAACTTTTGTAGTATCATGCAGTCATATTCATTAAACATGGTATTATACGCCTAAGGGAACTATAAATTTATAATCTTTATGTTGCATCAAACACTCATTATCATCATATCATCATCTTCAATGTCAACAACCGAAGATCTAGAAGTTGAATTTACCATCATAGGCAAGTTTCGTATCAAAGTTTCATCATTCATACTTTAAAGAAGCTCCTAACCCTGCCTTGAGTTGGATCTACGCTTGAATTCAGAGAATAATCAATGGCGGACCTTCATACTTTACCACAAGGTGTGTAACATGAAGTATTAGCTTTAAAAGTTACATCAAGCCAATGGTGTTTACAGGTACGGTTAACGCATTCGCTCGAAAACTCTTCATTACGCTTCAAAAAGCAATTATATGTCATGGAATCAACAGGTTGATGTCCAAGACTATAAATGATAGAATTGCAAACATCGTGTATAGAGTTTGTGAGACATAGACTGTGCAAGATTAAATAATAAAAAACCATTTCACTTCTAACAAAATTGAATTTGTGCAACTTCCTTGTCAATAATAAAGAACCATTTGTATTTTGTAATTCTTATTGTCTTAGAAAAACACACATGTTATATGCACCATTTGTTGGAACAAAATGGTTGATATCACACCTCTTAGATTTTAATGATAACAAAGTATTTAAAGAACAATTGGGTATTCTAACATTTGTTTAAGTATGTAGGATTATAAGACTGAGAACAGATGAATAGAAACTTGAGAATTCTAAATCTAAAGTTCAGAATCTGTCTCTAAAGATCACTCCAAAGACTCTGGATCTGATGGAAGATTTATACTTTAAAGAAGTCAACTCGGAAGAAAGTCAGTCTCTGGTGACCCAAACTCTGAAACTTCAGAAGTCAAGAAGTAGACTCTAAACTGATTAGCCTCTAAAGAGTGAAGTTAGAAGAGAGTTAACCTCTGAAGTATACTCTCTTAAATCGAGGTAACTCTGACAGACTCATAAACTTTTTGATCACGTGAAGACTTAAGGAAAAATCTCGTATTTGTTGTCTGAGCTTCAAAGGATAATTTCTTTTGCAAAAAGGTGTTTTTTTCATGTGTCCAATTGAGTACAAAGTTATCCCAACCTTTTCGTGAAAGTCTTCAACATCTTTTTTCTTCTTCTCTATATAAGGAGCATAAGTCTTGAAGAAGAATACTATTTTACTGCACAACAATACAACATAGTGCTATACAGACTCTGAACCTTAATATTTCAAAGAGAAGTTACTCTATCAAATTTTCTAGACTTAGAACATTTTAACATTGTGTATATTTTATAAGTTCTTAAGTCTTAGAGTCTTTATAAGTTATATTATGTGTACATCTTTGATTGTATATTAAGTGTAGTTGTTACCTAAATCTCTTAACAGTTTGTTATAGAGTCAGAAGTCTCTTGTTTTAGTTCTTGAGCATTTGAAGTCTCTTGCACGTGTGCTTGAGCATACAAGTCTCTTACTTGAGAGTTTGAGCATTAGAAGTCTCTTACTTGTGTGCTTGAGCATATAAGCATCGTACTTGAGAGTTTGAGCATTGGAAGTCTCTTACTTGTGTGTTTGAGCATTAAAGTTTATTACTTGTGAGTTTGAGCATTAGAAGTCTCTTACTAGGTGCTTGAGCATTTGTAATCAGTTTGATTATAGTGGAAA